CTTTGCTCATTGATTATTATTTTTTATTTTTCATTTTCTTTCTTCAGCCGTTTATAGTAACGCTGATATTCTTTTGAACTCTTTCTGGTTTCCTCTTGAGAATCTCGTTTTTTCTTTTGATTATCACCTCATTGTCGGACGTAATATTTATAGACTGCCTTTTTATTCAGTCCAATGACTGCAAATAAAGGTTACTGATCTGATTGGAAATGTATATAAAAACTTTCTTTTTTTTTCTCAATAGTACAAGTGGAAATCGTCCAATAAAGCAAAACATCATCTTATTTAATATAATATTATGTAGTACCTATCTATATATAGTTTTATAACTTGATATTCAGTCTAATAGAAATTAAATATTAATCTGCCAGATAGATCGCTGACGATAGCGATTGCTATCGTCGCTAATTAATATAGGGATATTTCCTTGTTTATTAAAGATAATATAAGCACAACTTTTTATTTTTTACTACCAAAAAAACATTATTGTTATTTTTTATATATAATCCACTAGAGCGTAGCAACATCAAAGATAATAATCGAAATATTTGGACTATTAAAACGATTATTTAAAAATTCGGAGAGCAACGACGTTATTATAAAGTGGAAATAAATTTTAAACCCATGGAAATATTCATGTATTAATATATTAACCTACTTTACTCTTTGGTCATTTTTATCGGTTTGATTTTATACGAGTTAGAAAGATATAGCCAGCAAATTACTCCCATATTAATGAAAAGTAATACTCAAATTCTTATCTTTCTTCACAAGAAGTTAAGAATTTAAGCCTAATTTCTTTACACAACAGTAATTTTCTTTAAAATAATCTTGACAAACATCACAGTATCTCAATGGCGTTCGCCAAGAGTGGTACTTTTTCGGTATAAACACGGTATTTGGACATTATATTATAATAGGGGTTAAAGTATGAAATTGCTGATTTGAACTGAAAATCATAATTTAAACAATTCATTTCATTATTCATTTTTTTTATTTTTAACAAATTTATTTAATTAAAATAGTTACCATTATTATCTATACATTGCTGCCATCTAATATGAAGGTCATTTATGCCTTTGCTATAGAACTCTGAGGATCTAGACTTCACAAGGCAAGGTGTGAAAGCATTTTGTAAAAGAAAAGAAAACTTCTTGTCACTAATTATCCAATAATTGTCTAATCACGAAAAAAATGGTAGTCCGTTGGAGCAAGGTCTAGCGAATACGCAGGATAATGAATGGTTTCTAACTGCAGTTCTTGAAGGATCAAAACGGTTTCTCGTGCTGTATGAGGTCTCACGTTGTCATGGAGCAATCATGGTGAAGATCGATTCATGAGTCGGGGCTGTTTTACTGCTAGTTTTGCCAACATTGTTCGAATTTCGGCACAATAGACATCTGCCGTTATTGCTTGTCCAGATCGGAGAAAACTATAGTGAATAACACCATGCTGAGACCATCAAACAGTTACCATTACCTTTTTACTGGTAAGTTTCGCTTTAGGACATTGTTGTGGCGTTTGACCTGGGGTTAGCCATTGCATTTTTCTTTTACGGTTATCATAAAGAATCTTTTCATCACATGTCACAATTCGATCCAATATGCCTTCATTTCTGTACCGATTCAACAAGGCAACACAAGTTTCAACAAGCGTTTCTTTTTATTTTATTGATTTGACACAAATGAATCTGTGGTCTGTGTGTATGAATATTGTGGATAAGGTAACGTTAAACCATGCCGCTAATTCCTGAGTAGTTTGACTAGGATCGGCTTCCACCATCTCTCTTAATTCATTATTCACCTGTGTGGGCTGTCTTCCTCGTGGCTCGTTCTTCAAGTCGAAGATTCCATCACGAAATCGATTAAACTAAAATAGCACGGTGCGTTCATTAGCAGACCCCTCTCCAAACGCAACATTGATATTGCGGGCTGTTTCTGCCGCGTTATTTCCGCGTCGGAACTCGTATTCGAAAATCACTCGAAGTTTCGCAGTATCCATCTTTCTTGTCTAAGTTGAAAAACATAAACAATTGAAAGTCGATACTCAAATGTTTTACATTTTTTAAAAGAAGAAGATCATAGAAACCATGTGAAAAAAGTTTCTTTCGAAAACCTCAAACCATGAAGAGTCTATGTCAATTCAAGGGACCTATTACAATAAAACGGCAGTTTCATACATTAACCCCTAATATAATCTAAGATTTCACCTTATTATAGTAAAAATTGTTTACTCATTTATTCTGACAGCTTACATTCATATGCATTTGTTGTAACAAAACGCAACTGACAGTTCACGTAATGTGGTCTAGATTACAATATTTTTCTGTATATAATCATTGCATTCAAAATGATAGATGTACGCATTTAGACATTGCTTTAAATAGATTTATTGACGCGATATGATTGCATTAAATAAAATGCAGATAAAGCAATTACCTTATCAAAACAAAAAATCAAAACAGGAATCAAATTACCAATAAATGAAATATCTTATCAAAGTATGTCATAGGTAATTATATAATTTAAGTATATTTTTTCAGTAATTTTTATATTTGTAGTGATTATATAACATTCTGATTTCATAAATCTAGAGCATAATAAGCGATCTTTTGTTTTCGTTATTGGCAAAATGTTTAAGGTCGTCCACTGCATCAGCACACATGACAATTAAAGTGTTGCACGGATTTGTTGATGTCATACGTTTTAGTTTTAACGTCGGAAGTATGCTGATGAAGCCATAAGAATTAAGAAAGATTACGTGTCGTGTGGCCGGTACGCGTGTGCTGACATATGGACGTTTACCTTTATAGTTATTTAGTTAAACAAAACTGGCAAATGTTTTCATAATTAAAATGTCAAAACTACATCATATTTCGAACGCTTTTGTCATATAGAAAACGTGTATTCATATAAAATTTTCTGTATATAAAAAAATATCACATAGTTCACCAAAATTACCTCTAAAACTTCTAAAATTCGCAATTTCTTCCATTTCTTGTTATAATTATAAATTCTTTTAAGGAAAATTTATAAATATGTGAGTCATTTATTCTACAATAAACGTATAGTTGGCGAGTTATTAATTAAAAAAACCGGACAAGCACGAATGGTTCCGTACGATCCCGTTTGTTGTTTTCTATGGAGTTATTCGAAATTTTCAAGTTAAATACAATTGGTCGAATTACTCGTAAACTTGTTACGCCAACTTAAGTGTGATTGTTTTCCTTTTAACTTCTTTATATAAATACTACTGCCATAACGTTTGAATTTTTACCAACGACCGGCTAGTAAGTAGAGTGGGAACATTTGACTCTAATGAAAATTAGCTCTTCTAAGCTTAATATGTCACGAACGGTTTACTAAATCGAAAAACGGCCTTCCCACACCCCCAATGTCCTATCCATAAAGCCCTATCCAACGACGCCCTACACTATGGGGGAAATTAAAATAATATCACCCTTATTTTATATGTGGGGGTACCCAAAAAATTGTATTTATTTTACTTTACTTCTTTGTCGTTGTAATTAACGTATACTCATGCCAAATTATAACTATCTAGTACCAATAGTTTTTAAACTAAACGGACGGACGGACCTACAGACGGACATGGCGAAACTATTACTCCTTATTTACTACAGAAACCTTATAATATAATCCTATATCAACATCTAAATTGGCCTAAATTGCTTTTAAATCTTCAATTTATCTTGCACATGACTGTTTTACACTTTTTCATAGAACTTTATAAGAAATCAAATTCAATAAGTTTATTCAGTTTAAGCTGGTACAATACTTGGGAAAGTCAATAACTATGATATCGGTTCGCTAAACTATTACGAGAGAACTTGTACTGAAGAAAAACCAGCAAAAAACTCAGCAACGGCTGCTTTTTTCACCCTCTTTTGTGTCATACACTCTCCATTGCAATGTTCAAAATAGCAAAAAGAGATATTTTTTTCGTGGCATTAGACAAATTTATTATTATGTGTTCTCTTCCTCAATAATTGTTGTATTCATGTATATCAACTTTATTTTCAAAAATGGGTTGATTCTCATTCGCTTTACCATGCTTATCAGTTTCGTCGTAAACATTTGTGAATACTTCCTTATTTTTGCTAATGATATATATCTATATATATATATAATAAAATAATATAGATATTCTTAATTTATTTTATTAAATGCGCATTTACTAATTATTTTATTTATCAAACTGATGAATCATGATAAGATTTTCTGTAATATAAATATTGGGAGAGTGCAAGGAGCACCATCAGTTCAATTGAACACTTAATCAACATGCTGCGACAATTTGTATTCTTGGCTACGATCCTGGTCATCCGTGGCCAATCCACTGCTGTCAACAAATGTGAGTAATCCATTACTGATTTGAACACAAATAGTCGTTAATTTTTCGTTGAAAAAGTTTTGCTGCCATTTTTATAGCGCTAATGTAATAGTTGGTGACCCTGTTAGTGTTAATAACTTTGTACTGCGTCGCGAATGCAGTAAGTTTTACACGACACGAATAATGTGAAGTCGTTAATTTTTCAAAAACCAATAACAATTATTTTAAAAAAGTTTTGCTGCCATTTTTTATAGCGCTAATGTAATAGTTGGTGACCCTGTTAGTGTTAATAACTTTGTACTGCGTCGTGAATGCAGTAAATTTTACACGACACGAATAATGTGACTCCCTAACCAGCCAGTCCGCCATATCTACCAGTACCGCGCCATCGCCCCCGTCCCTCAATAGCCGCGCTCTCCTATTATGCAAAACTATCAAATTTCTCTACTTTTTATAATTATGGCTAATTCCGTTATACACTTTTTACCAATGTGCCATAGGGAAAGAGATACGAAAGAATTGCTACCTAGCAAGGATTTTACTCTTTTAACTATTTTTTACTACTTTTTTAAACATACTCTTTCTTTGGCCATTTCTGTACTTAGTATTATACCTGTAGAATACAAAAACACTTACAGAAATACATTGTGGTAATCTGTCGTGCAGCCGTCTGTATAGGAGGGCATGAAATATATTTTAGAAAACTGCATAATATATGTAATTTAATCCTATATTTATTTTTCTAGGCACTTATTTTCCTGGGGCTCTGCCATCGCAAGTTTACATTCAAGGCTGCGTCACACCACCATGTCGTCTGCCACAAAACCAACATGCTGTTCTCAATATGGTCTTCACAGCTCGTAAGTAACATTTGTTAACCAAAATTTCAGCGTACTTTGAGCGGTTCCCAATACATTTAAAACTCGTGATTTGAATTTGTTTATTTAGGATATTAAATTTTGATTAATTTAAATGACCATGAAAGCTTAAAACAACATACTGAAATTACTTTCAAAATTTTTCTTTATTTAAATTTTAATACTTATATAATTTTTTTCCAGCTCATGATATAACACGTATGAACACTCTAGCCACAGCGTTTGTCGGTATTATACCAGTACCAGTGCCATTTCCTATGGGACACCTATCAGCAGCATGCGACCTACTACTGGATATTAGTTGTCCTGTGGCTAAAGGACATACTATAAACTATGAACTTAATATATTCATGGAACCATCTGTCATGCTATTGGTAAATACGAAAATATTTGTAGCTTTTTTCTGCAATTTCACCCGGGTAAATTATAGCCTATGTCACCAGCATATGATATAGCTTCCAGAGTAATTTTGGGAGACAACTACATAGTCAAGATAAGTTAGATGAAGTATTTTTGCCAGTTTTTATATAAAAAAACAACTAATTTGAATGGAACCCCGTTGAGAATATACCCTTTTAAATAAAACGGGTGGAATTTTCAAAATATTTAATACGCTTATTTTTTCTTCTAGAATACTCGAGCCAACGTTGAGTTCAGAATAGTAGACCAAGATAATCAACCACTTATATGCATCGACGTGCCATTTCATATTGTGCCAGCGAACAGCACAATGTTAGCAGAAAACTAGTCATGCTTCCTTAGTCTTCTAATGTACCCTCTTTTTAACTTTATTAGAAATATTATAGATATATCTACATATATATTTATGCGGTAGGCGGAGAGGACCGAGTGCCACGAGGCACGGTCCATGCATACATCTTTCGCTTCTTCCACTTTCTTTATTCTTTTTATACATGCTCGCCGGTTTTTATGACTTCTAACATTATCCTCCAACATCACGCAACTAATTTGATTGTGAAAGGTGTTGGCCTTCCTCAGCTTCTATATCCTTCCACTTTCGGGTTGTTTAACATTTTTGTAATTCTTTCATCCGGCATTTTTTTTCATATGTTCCAACGAACATGCTTCTGATGATTTTTACATTGACGCTACCTTTTAGGTTCACTCTCATTCTCATTACGAATGTGGTCTGCGGGTCTGCATTGATTCTATTAACATACTCTCTCGGACATTCCCACCTGTTGCTACCACACAATAGATGTTGGGATCAGCACCGCATTGCGTATAGCGAGCTACGCTTTTGATTCTAGATAAAACATTCAAAAACGTAATTAAATTTAATTCAATGTAACTTTATTATGTTGTTAAATGAAATATAATTTTACTCCTGTAGGTGTAATATTTAAATGACAAGTTTATTCCTGTTCACAATGTTGACACAATTGAAAACGGAATTTGGCAGGATCGGAACCTAATTTATATGATAACACAATGACCACTTAGGTACCTGATTATTTAAAAATATAAATTATTTAATTACATATGAGCATTTTTAATTATCATCCTGTATTATGACGTCACCGTTCGGTAAATTGTACCTAATCCTAGTTACCAGTACAACAACAGTTTACATCTCATGTAATATATTTTTTTCAGCCAATAATTACAAAATATGGGTGATTTCTGAGAAAAGTTTTCTGGAATCAGCAGTTCTATTCTGTAGAAAAGTCAGCGTTTAATTAAACGTCGAGCACAGCGTTGAAACAGCATACAGGTTCAACGTAAAATACTTTCATGATAGAGATTCTATGATGTTACATAACTAGACATGTCGCAAAAGCTTTTTAAAAACTAAAATATTACGTAAAAGTCAAAGTCAAAATAATCTTTATTCATTCGAATATTTTGAACGATTCAAAAGTACTTTTAAGAAGTCTATTCAGACTTCTTAAAAGTACTTTTGAATCGTTCAAAATTTTTTTTCCTACCACTTGTACAGGACGTCTTTTGGCTGCTAAGAAAAACGAGCAAGAAACTCACCAGCTCTAATAGGAGTAATGAAATTCATTAAAACCATGTCATTGCCAGATCATTACATTATAAATAGAGAGAGAAAAAAAACTATGGTCTTATAACACAATCATTTAATAATAATGGAAACAAGATAATTTTTGATATATAAAGAATTTAGAAGTAATCACCTATCCAGTTGCTGGATCATCTTAAGTCCAAGCATTCTTATCTGTTATATAATCGGATACCTTATAATAAGCTTTTTTAATAGTAAATTAAAACTGCATGATATCTAATTGATGTATTTTGCTTGGGACCTTATTGTAGAAGCGCACACAAAGACCCCTGAATGAGTTACTAACGTTTTGCAGTCTACTGATAGGCCCCGTTAATTTATTTTTATTTCTTATATTAAAATTATGTACATCACTTTTTATATAAAACAAACTAATATTTTTACGAACGTACATTAAGTTCTCGTATATGTATTGAGAAGCAACAGTCATTGTGTCTTTTCCCTTAAACTTCTCCCATAAATAGTCCCTAATCCTAAGATTATAATGATCTATTATAAATTGATCTAATTGCTCTTTTCTGAAGCACAAAAATCGTTTGTATGACAATAGGATTCCGTACGATATTACACTATGAAAGTAACTGAAGTATACTTAACTGACAGTATCTATGTCAGTTAAATTACGTATAATCATTACGGCATATGCTGCAGAACTAAGTCTATTCCATAATTTATCGATATATGGGCCCCACTGTAGTTTAGAATCTAACGTTATTCGTAGACTTGTTTGTTATATGAATAACATAGATACATTATCAGAAAATCAATATGGGTTTCGAGCCGGTAGGTCTACTGAGGATGCCGTGCTTAATCTAACTAGTTTAGTCACAGGATATCTGGATAAGGGAATGAACTGTGTTGGTGTATTTCTAGACCTTCAGAAGGCCTTCGACACAGTTTCAATTCCGATATTACTTAGACGCCTCGAAAATCTAGGTGTGAGGGGAATGATGCACGCTTGGTCCACTGACTATTTGATAAGTCGAAGTCAAACTGTCAGGATTGATAATTATTACAGTAAGACAGCCTTGTGCACCAACGGCGTCCCACAAGGCAGCACTCTTGGCCCAACATTATTTTTAATATATATCAACAGTTTATGTAATATAAAATTACCTAAGCCTGAAACAATTATGTTTGCAGATGACACGGTAATTTTATTTCATGGTAAGACGTGGAGCGAGGTAATAAAAGTGGCATAGACAGGTCTATGTGGGATTACAAATTGATTAGAGGAAAATCTCCTATCAATAAATTCTGTAAAAACTAAATTCTTATGTTTCAGTAAGACTAAAGCTAAAGATAAAGCTAAAAATAATTGAACTCTTACATTACACACATTTCCATGTAATCAGAAAATGAAACTTAATTGCAATTGCCCAACACTCTTACGCGTTCCAAAAATTAGATACTTAGGTGTGATCGTAGATGAAAATCTAAAATGGAAAGAACACATAAGCACGGTGTCAGCAAAAGCTCGAAAATTGATGTTTGTTTTTAAACAACTACGCACTGCTGCAGATTACAAACTTCTTATATCGACTTATAGAGGCCTTTGTCAATGTATACTCACCTACAGTATATGTGTTTGGGGAGGTGCCGCAAAGACACATGATACAATTAGAGAGAGCTCAAAGAGCTGTACTTAAAGTAGCTTTAAATCTACCATATAATTCCCAACAGAACAACTCTATCAGCAAGCAATGGTTCGCCCAGTCCGTAAACTTTACGTTTTCCTTATACTATTTAGGTTCCATTGCAAAACAATTCCATATACATCCTTGGTAACAAGAAGAGTCCCTAGATACAAAGTTCCAACTGCTCACTCAACACTTGTTAAACGTCACTTCACATATGTCAATCAACGTCTTTATAACAAGTTACTGAGATCACACAAAGACATTGTACAATACAGGGCAAAAAAGTTTCAGGACTCGATTATAAAATGGTTAGAACAATACAAGTATGATAACTTAGAAGAAATAATACAAACAATCACTAGCCTTTCTTAAAAATCAGATAAAGATGTACATGTTGTTATTTAACACACACACACACACACACACACACACACACACACACACACACACACACACACACACACACACACACACACACGCACGCACAGGCACAAAACGCAGGCATAATATTATTTACTCTTTATATATACGAGGGTCAAACTGAAAGTTCTTAGAAAATCAAAAACTGATTACATTAGCCAGTTATTAGTTTTATTATATCTTTTCAAAATATTGTCCATTCACGTCAATACACCGCTGCATGCGATGGAACCACTGGGAAAAGCACTTTGCCCACTCGTCCTTAGGGGTCTCTTCAATGGCATCGCGATACGCAGCCACCGCTTCTTCAGCATTCATAAACCGCTTTCCTTTAAGTTTTTCTTTAATTTTTGGAAATAAATAAAAATCACAAGGCGCGAGGTCGGGGCTATACGGCGGGTGACCCAGTAATTCAACGTTTGATGTCGCCAAATAGTCGATCGTTCGCTTGGCGGTGTGCGACGAGGCGTTGTCGTGGTGAAGGAGGATCCTACTGCGAGGTCGTTTCTCTCGAACTTTTTCCAAGACAAGTGGCAAACAATTGGTAGTGTACCATTCTGCAGAAACTGTTTTTTGATCCTCTAACACAATTGTTGCAAAATGACCTATCCTTCCAAAGAACGAGGCCACCATTTTTTTTCCCGCACTTCGATCTCTCTTCACTTTAGTTGGCAACTCCTCGAAAGGAAACACCCACTGAGCAGATTGTCTTTTGGTTTTAGGATCATAACAGTAAATCCAGCTTTCGTCACCTGTTAGTATGTCGAACACAGTATTTGAGTCACCTCCGTTAAATCTTTCAATCATTTTACGACACCAATCCACACGATGGAGTTTTTGAGCCTCAGTCAAATTATGAGGTATCCACCGGGCGCAAAGCTTCCTGACCGCTAAATGTTCGTGGAGGATTTTGTGCACTTGACTCATACCGATGCCTAAGCTTGTCCGAATCTGTTGATAGGTCACTCTTTTGTCAGTCTCTATCATACGCCGCACAACACAGATGTTATCTTCAGTCGTCGCCGTAGAAGGCCGTCCCTCACGTAAATCATCAGTGAGATTAGTGCGACCACGTTTAAACTTATTAAACCAGTTGTAAACAGTCGCACGAGATGGGGCTTCATCGTGAAAGGCCAATCGTAGTCTATCATAACTTTCTTGTTGACTTAAATGACATCGAAAGTCATAAAAAATCATTGCACGAAAATTTTCTCGTGTTAAATTCATGATGACGTGACACAGACAATTTTCAATTTGCCGCCAAATCGTAAAACAAATGACAAATGAATGAAATATATACTCAGTAATATTGGCAAAGAGTTATATTTTCAAATTTTAGAATTAATTTTTTATTATATTGTTTATAAGTGGCCAGTTCTAAGAACTTTCAGTTTGACCCTCGTATTAATATTTACACTTTAATATAATTATTTGCAATGTATTTAAGGAGGAACCTGCCTCTCGTAACACAGGGTAACCTTATATTAGAGCAGTTTACATTTTGTACCGAAAAAATGTATGAAATTTTTTCATTTTCATTTTTATTTCATTCCTAAAAATACTGTGGTATCCACAAGGCCCATGTTCTTATCTTTTATATTAACATTAGGTAGTACAAATATTAGGCATTTTGTTTTTCCTTCATTAAGGAGAAGATTATTTACATTAAACCAGTGTACTACTTTAGCGATAGAATTATTC